TATGCAATATATAAATTATAAAACTCACCAAAAAAAAATTATCCATTTAACCCCAAAATAAGATATATCATTATGCAAACGCAATAATTAATTAAACTTTAAAAACGAAATTAAAAAAACATAATGATAAAGTCTACAAATAGTATAAATTAAGTAAAAATGATTTAAACATGAATTAACTTTCTTTGAGAATTTCTTTGCACTTTCATTGCAGTTAAGACTCTCCAGATAACTGATAAATGCGCAACATTTATTATCGTTAATCAAATACTGCGGTAAGCATAATATAATTTTTGTACCTTCATAATTAGGCTCTAGTTGCCTCTGTCTTATTCTAATTGATAAGTTTGGAATTAAAAACATAATTTTAGTAACTAATCACCTGATATCATAGTTTGGTTATTGATCACAATATTTCCGTGAAGTCGAGCAGTAATAAATAATAAAATAATATATATCATAATACAGATTTTCATTTAAGAAGATTAAATGATTATTTATAAATTTTAATGGGTTATCATATATTGTATGTCTTAGTATTGAAACTTTCTTTGCCCTAGCTTACTTATCCAACTACCTTGATGAGTATAACATCATAACTATGGACTGGAAAGAACTATCGTTTTTATATGAATACTTATATTTAGCAGACAGATGTAGAAGTGCGGGAAAATTATTAAGTTATTTTTTGACAAAACTAGTCGCTTTGAGGCTTATTATGCCTTCTAATATACACATGATAGGACATAATCTTGGTGCTCATACTCTTGGTTTTTGTGGAGCTAAGTTTTATAAGTTGACGAAAATGAAAATCGGGAGAATCACAGGTGTGTAAAATAAAATCAAAATTAACGTTATTTATAATTGAAAATATTGGGTACTTATTCGAAAATCAACAACCTTACTTCCGTACAGGTCTAAACCCGAAAGGACCCATATCTATATATCCATGGGAAACATTTTATTATTTACAAAGAACGTTGAAGAAGACGGATGCGGAATTTGTGGATCTGATCCATACGGCAAAAGCTGAAATATTTCCTAATACAACCGGACACGTTGAATTTTATCCGAACAGAGGAGAAACTCCTCAGCCAGGATGTATTCACGTGAATTTTGAAAGAGATCCTTTTGATAAAGAAATAATAGAATGTAAGTTACAATAGTGAAATTTATGTAATTTATGTAATATCAGAACGTAAGATTTGTATCAATTAATGGCTTGTAAAAATTTCGAGATTAATTATAATTCGAATCTTACGATGTAACAATTCACAAAACTAATTTTAATAGTTAAAAAACTTCTGGGAGTTTTATTCTATGTTCAAGGTTATCAGTCCCAGTTTTATCTAAAGCTTTTACCATTTTGAGTTTAATATCATATGAAACTCGAAAGTCAAGAAGTTCTAATCCAGTTAATCTGTTTATCAATAAGGTATCATAAATATCCTGAAAATACTTTTAATACTAATCTATAGACCTCATTACTTGAATTTCCGTACTTATTCAGATCCTTTAAGAAATTGACACGGCCTCAGGTTGCTTGGAAATTCTCCTCGGTGAGGTGGCCGGTCACGATTGAATTGTGGTGTTGTGTAATGGAAAAAGTATACAGTTGACCAAAGAAAAACAATAACAATATGCTGAGGCAAATAAGTATATTGTTCCACAAACAAGAAAGAAAAAAATTATGTATATAAACTATACGGTCCTCTGGTGACAGTGGTGGAGAGACAATCGAAAAAAATGCACTAGGACGATGTTCGTTGATCAACGGTCACGAGCAGAAGGTTGGTGACTTGAAGCGACCGGTCAGTACGTTGCCAGTGGTTCCGATAACTTTTTCCACCTCTGCCCGGTTTTCCGAAGTCGGTGGGTAGTGCGGAAACGGTGTTGTCGTTTCCCTAGTTTTGGCTGAGTAGAGAGCGGGCGCGGCTCCAAGATAGTGGTGTACTTAATGTACCTGCACCAAAGCGGTCCCGCGTCAAAATTTAAATCATTCAATGGCGCACCTGAAGCATCTGTAGAAGTATACCATAATTTTAAATATATTCTAATTATAAACAATGTAAAATGTTCTAAATTTGATATTTACGTTTCTTTTAATTCAAATTGCGGCCGAAATAAAAACATTTTTTAATAATATATTATCTTGACCATCCACCTAGCGTGATAACGAGCCCCAAGTTTTCGAAAACCATTCTTTTCTGGAAGCTTTTCTTCAAGGTTATATAAATTCAATTATAATACTTCTTTGTAATCTTCACAAGGTTAAAACTCAGTTAATTGATTAAATATAAATTTTACCATATCATTCTTTAC